AGTTAAGGCTAGTCAAAAAAAACTTTTTTAAGTCGTTGTTCTCTTTACTTTTCAGTTTTGGAAGCTTCTATTTATTGCATCCTCATGCTACTCTTAGCTGAGCTGTGTCCAGTCTGATAGTGAGCCCACCAAAGACATTCTTTATCTCTGTTACAGTGTTTTTGATCTCTAACAGTTCCTTTTGATTCTTATAATTTCCATATCTCTATTTTCAATATCCATCTGTTCTTGCAGGTTGTCTACTTTTTCCATTAAAATCCTTAGTATGTTAATCATAGATGTTTTGGCAAGTAGTATCTTGATTCCTAAGCCAGGCAAAGATATCATAAGAAAAAAGAAAACTGCAAGGCAGTAACTCTGACATTCATGCAAAAATTATCAATAAAATATTAGCAAATCAAATTCAACAATACCTCAAAAAGATTCTACAGTATGATCAAGTGGGATTTACCCGTAGCAGGCAAGACTGGTTTAACATAAGTAAGTCAATCAAAGTGACACATCACAGACTGAAAAACAAAACCACATGATCATCTCAATTGACACAGGAAGTATTCAACAAAATCCAACATCCTTTTTTGATAAAAACTCTCAACAGTTTGCGTATACAAGAAAAGTCCCTCAACATAAAAAAGGTCATTTACAAATGACCTTTGGCTGAGTCCTCACCCCACCCATGGTGTTTTAAACTCTCAGACAGGTCCCTATGGAGCCTCTAGTAATTTACCAATTACAGTTCAGGTTTTCCTGCCTCAGCATTTGTTTCCATGGAGGGTTCTACTTACGGGTTTGCTCCTGTTAAGTTGTGACTCCCCATATTCACCTCTCTCTCTACTGTGACCTCAGTTTCGACAAATCTAAAAAGAGTTCTTGATTGTATTTCAGTTTGTTTGGCTTTTTACTGTTGTTACAATGGAGTGGAGACTTCTAAGCTCCTTACACACTGGACTGGAAACAGGAAGCCTGCCCATTCTTTTTTATTTCTGTTTTCCAGGGTTTCTTGCATAACTTTTGAATGTAGCAAGAACTCAAAGGCTTTTAAAAATTTGTTGAACATTTTTGGTAATAGCTTATATATAAATAAATAAGCACCTTCTAACCACCAGGCACTCTTCTAAGTGTGTTTACATATATAATCTCATTTAAACCTCACAGAAACTCACACATAAATACTGTTTTTATTCTTGTTTTATAGACAAGGAAGCCAAAGCGCAGAGAGTTTAAGTTTCCTGTCCCAAAGGAGCATAGCCAGTGAGTGGCATAACCAGAACTCAAACTCAAGATGTGCAACTAAAGAACATGTTCATAACCACCATATTGTATTAACCAGCTAACTCCTAAAAGTCCTGATCATGTTTTGACCTCATTCAGTCACAAAGAATTCAAATAGTCCAACAGATTGTTTCTCATTCTAGTTATTTTGGAAACTGCCAATATGATATTTCAATTTACCATCCAAACATCTGAAATTACTGAAAGGAAAATTTGAGTATGCACCTCCTGTATATCATTGTAAGAAAAGGATTATGTTTTCATGTAGTTTACATAGAAACTAACATAGTTTACAGAGAAGCTAATTTTTATATAAAAACTACATGAAAACATAATTCTAGAAACCCAGGAAGGTCTTCCTTCAACCATTAGAGATGCTCCTCACTGGCTAAAATGAACCCAGTGCTCGAAAAAGATCTCTACTTCCTATGAATAGAAACCGGCATGCTACTTTCTATGACAAATTAGTACCGAGTCTTACATAAATATGACTTTAATGGTACTAATGTTTTAAGCCAACCTAGGTTGTTCTGATTCCTGTTCTGAACATTGAGGTTCAACATCATTAACAGACAAGCCAAAGATAATCACTATCCTGAGGGCTTTGCCAGCTGCGTGAGTGAACATGATGTCTGTTTTAGCATCAGCCACTTTTTGGTCTGCATTAGATTGATGGCATATTTTGTTCTGTTTCTTTATGGAAATATGGTTAATCTATACCAATAAACTCTTCTTTTTCTAGCAACCGATTCAGAGTTGAAAAGTTTATGCCGGGCACGGTGGCTCACGCCTGTAATCCCAGCAATTTGGGAGGATGAGGCGGGCGGATCACTTGAGGTCAGGAGTTTGAAACCAGCCTGGGCAACATGGTGAAACCCCGTCTCTACTAAAAATATGAAAAAAAAAAATTAGCCAGGCATGGGGCCATGTGCCTGTAATCCCAGCTACTGGGGAGGCTGAGGCAGGAGAATCGCTTGAACCTGGAATGCGGAGTTTGCAGTGAGCCAAGATCGTGCCACTGCACTCCAGCCTGAGCAACAGAGTAAAACTCTGTCTCAAAAAAAAGAAAAGAAAAGAAAACAAAAGAAAAATTTAGAAAATATTGGATTCTGATTTTATTGGAATTCATAGTGGTAGGTTTAGGATACATGGGCAAGAGAGACAGAGATGTTTAAATATAAAAATGCAGGTTCATCTCTAATCAACATATTCTCCTTTATCAATCAAAACATAAAGAGAGTTTATGTCATCAGGTAAGCTGTTTGTTCCACCCTATCCCCACATGGCTGACAAAGGAATCATATTCTAGTTAAATTTGTACAGTGAGGCCAGGCGTGGTGGTTCATGCCTGTAATCCCAGCACTTTGGAAGGCCAAGGCAGGTGGATCACCTGAGGTCAGAAGTTTGAGATCAGTCTGACCAACATGGAGAAACCTCGTCTCTACTAAAAATACAAAATTAACTGGACATGGTGGCACATGCCTGTAATCCCAGCTACTCGGGAAGCTGAGGCAGGAGAATTGCTTGAACTCAGGAGTTGGAGGTTGCAGTGAGCCAGTTGCGCCACTACAGTACAGCTGGGCAACAAGAACTCCATCTCAAAAAAAAAAAAGGTTTGTACAGTGAGAAAATATATCTCCCAAGGGTGCAAATAACACATACCGAACTTCCTTATCTGCTCTCCTCTCAAAAAAACTCACTCTTTCCGTTCCTTAACATCACATTACAGAACATCATCTTTAAGACATGAATGCTAACCTCTTTCTGGTTTAACAAATTTGTGGATAATAAGCACCTAATGGATTATGGACAGGTTTATAGATATATTTTTGATACAGCACTAATCATTCATTCATTCATTCCTGACATCTGCTCCAGGCTAGTGGTGGTATGGGTGTCAGACTGAGAGTCTGCACATTAGAGTGTGCCATGTGCAACTATGGGGGTAAAGACAATGCATTCCGAGAGCTCAGAGAAAAGGACAAACAGCAGTACCTTCTGGAGGTGCTCTGAGAAGGCTTGAAGCAGCAAGCACTAAGGGTCACTACCTGCACCCAAGTAAACCAAACACAAGGATGGCTGAAATGCTGGCCTGACCTAGTTAAACCCTTTCTTTCCTAGAAAGTAAGTATATCATCAAGTTTTGCAGGTTTATAATGGGTTTGTAGACTTGGCATAGCATTGGTCTCAGACTATTTTCAACAATGGTTATGTGTCCAACACTGTACTAGGAGCAGGACCCGAAAATGGGCCTCCTAGGTCTGGCATATTCTAAACCACAGTCTAGTTAGGGTGCATTGGCCAGGGACTCCCTGGATGGTATTGCAGATTGTGCACTGAACATTAATAAGAGACACCATTCCTAATACAGACATTATAGAAATGAATATTCATCATGCCAGCAAATGGCAGTAAAGAATCTGGTTTTAACTAAGGTAAAACCTTAGTTATCAGGACAATTTCTGAAAGATGGAAATAAAGTATCTTGAGGAGAGGATGCCTTTTTTCTAATTCATTCAAAAATCCTATGGGCAGCTGACTGCCCTGTTTTTTGTTCATTCAAAAAAGGATATAGGGAGGAAGTGGATCACTCAGTGGTGGTCTCCCCAATCATTAGTACAGGCATCCTTCAGAGTTGCCCCAGAGACGATCCCTCGGGCAAAGGCTAACAGCACTGGAGGACCAGAGGAGGAGCTGAGAGTGTAGTACGAGGAAAGAAATAATACACAGGATGACTTTCCCCATGTCACTTGCTCTTGGTGTCCTCCCTTCCAGTGGGAGTTCTAGGGCCCATGCCTCTTTGCCTGAACCTCCAGGGCTCCTTTTCTGTGACCTCACTCTCCACTGGCACCTCCAGCAGCAGAGGCAGAGCATTTCAACCAGACAGCATAGTGGCTTGACTTGACCTACTTCCAAACAAGGACCATTTTTCATTCATCATTTCAACCTCACAGCCTAAGTAGAGACTCAAAACACTGTGACTGGGTAAAGTAAATGAATACAATCATTAGGTAAAATGCATTTTTAGAATAACCAGTTGATTTCATTTATCCCTGAGGTCATTGGGATTAATGTAACAAAGCAATACATAACAGAAATCTGGCTCTCACACACGGTCAGTCATCTTTTTGGCTCTGCAACTCTTCCTTTCTCAAGAAAGGATGAGAAATGGTATGTGACAAAGGGAACTTCATTTGAAGGAATGATCAGGGGAAAGTGGTTAAATTATTTTATTTTATTTTATTTTATTTTAATTTAATTTTTTTGAGTTTTTGCTCTGTTGCCCAGGCTGGAGTGCAATCTCGGCTCACTGCAACCTCTGCCTCCCAGGTTCAAGTGATTCTCATGCCTCAGCCTCCCAAGTAGCTGGGATTACAGGCACCCGCCACCATGCCCAGCTAATTTTTGTATTTTTTAGTAGAGAGGAGATTTCACCTTGTTGGCCAGGCTGGTCTCAAAATCTTGACCTCAGGTGATCCACCCACCTCAGGCTCCCAAAGCACTGGGATTACAGTTATGAGCCACCACGACCGGCAAAAGAGGTTAAATTAAAAGGAACAATATAAAACTTTGAATTGGAAATCAAACAAAGAAGGGGTTGGTATTTATGTTAGTGACACATCATAAAAGTTAAAAAAGAAAAAAAAAGGCAGGACTCAAATTACAAATCACTTCTGCTCTTGGTAATCTGAAAGTTCCTAAAATAATAACTGAAGTAGCTCTCTTACCTTATAATTATTCATGATTTCAGTTAACCATGGCTTAACTGACTGTACTGTATCTTCTCGCAAGTACTTTTCAACTACAGTTCCATCATTAAAAGTCCGATTTCCCACGTGGATGGCTTGTCTCACCTCTGGGAGTGACAAAAGTTTCACATAGTAAAGCTGATCCTCAGGTTCCTGGCAGAAGGGAGCATCGGAAAGACATAGGGAACATGATTGGTGGCAGGAACAGCACGTTGGGAAAAGCTGTGAATGTCTCATAATATACAACAGGAACAAATGTGATGGGACTATTAACTTGTCGCCATTCTTGAAATTTTAACTCAGAGGTTTCGAGGTAATTTAGGTGGAATCTTTTTACTAACGGGAAATCTGAATGACGTGATACTCTTAGAGCAAATACAGGATTTTCCTTTGCAGAAACTAATATTTTGTAATCTGTGACTCCCATTAGCAACCCCTCTAGAGGCAAAGATTGAGAAAACAAAAGAGGTGAGATTATCAAACTCGATTCACTCCTTGTTGGTGGTTTTTTGGAAAGAAGGTGAAATGGATCACCAGGGCCAGGGTGGTGGCCTGCTGGATTTAAAGCCAAGAATTTCTTTTCTGTGGTCTGCTGTTTATTAAAACCACACACACACAAAACTGGATTAACTATAATAAAGGGGAAAAGATGTCAAATGTGAAAAGAGATGATGCTTTATGGAGGACACAAGACACAAGAAAAGTTGTCCATGAAGCTCATTTAAAAAAAAAAAACTGCAATAAAGTATAATAATCATTATACTGAAAGAAAGGAGTAAATGCTTTTTTAAAAAAACAGTTACACAAGGATTTTAAAAACTGTTAAAGTTTGAGTTTGACAACTCTGTGCTTCATCAACAATTTTTGCTAACTATGAATATATTATGTTGTAAAGAAAAAAAGATATCACAAATTTTGTTTCTGTCTTGTCTACCACATGTTTTTCTCTTGGTAGAACCTAAATCCAAAACTGCAGCACTGGCGAATTCCACTGAAACTAACATACTTTATTTACAAACTAGTTCCTAAATCAGGCAATTTAAAAAACAGAATGCATTGTCATAAGCATTAGACAAAGATTATACAAATTCAAACACCTACTTTGGCTCCTTCTGTTTGACTAATTCTACACAAAAGATACCAACTTTGGTCTACTTTTATGAAACAAACTACTTGAATACTTTGAGAAATATTCCAGAAGGCTTGAAGTAAGGGCCATACTAAATGCATTAAACCTCTTAAGTTAAAAGTAAGACAAAGCAAATATTTTCATTAAGGCTTTGGCAGTTTTGATTATCCAAGTGTCTTAAGTACAGAACAAAGAATGTGGGCATTTTCAAGAGACTCGTAAACAGACTTGAAGCTCTGGGACCTGAGACCCAGAACTCCAATCCCAGCCTGTGTCCTTCACAAAAAAGCCTCTATAACAAGCTCTACTGGGGGGAAATTATGTTAATCAGAAGTCGTTTTGAGTTATCTGAAATATCACACATTCTCAGTGGTCAGATTATAACATATACAACACTGATGAGGAAAAGATCCTACGGGTTAGTAGACCACATCATGCAAAACAGTTTGGACGTGCTGGTCTAGTATAAAGTCATCTATAATATTTCCCAAATCAAAGGAAGTTCGGTTTTGCCAAAAGTTTTAAGCAAACATTATTATGGTTTTTAAAATGTTGTCATTACCGTGCACCGCAAAAAGTTATAGTAATTACTACATCCTGTAACATTCTGGAAGTAAGAAGGATCACTTGTTAAGTCGCCGTCTAGTAGTTTATCCAGTATCTAGGTTGGGAGAGAGGGAGAAAGAGAGAAAGAAAACATCAGCGTGGGTAAAAATGTACAGACATTTGTCATTTCCTTTATTCAACAACTTTTTCATTCCTCTATTGTTTCATCCAGTGCCCACTTATTGTGCATATTCTCTGTGCTAGACACTGCCATGGCACTGGAGAAACGGCCATCAACAAAACAGACCAATGGTCCTCCCCCATAGAGCTTTCATTCTAGGCGGGGGACAATAAGCATTTCTAAGTAAATTACGTCATGTGGTAGACAGTGACAAACTCTTGAGTATGTTAGGGAATGGTAAGGAGAAAACTAAAGAGGAGTAGGAAGTATCATGCGTGTGCATGTGTGTATGGGACACTGTGGAGAGGAGGTCACAGAGGATCTCACTTAGAAGGTGACATTTGAGTAAAGACAAGTTGGATGAGAGGAATAAAGCCACGCAGACATCTAGGGGAAGGAAGGTTCCAGGCAGAGGACACAGCGAGCTCAAAGGCCTTGCCTATGGAAGTAAACCTTGTGGGAAGGGTACCTTAACATGGATCACGAACTGCTCACCAGATGACATGGAGAGAAGACGCAGGATAAGGTGCAGCTCCAGGTTTCTGGAGCTGGTGGAAGTTATCTTTGGGCTGACATTAAAAAACCCAGTCACCAGCTGAGGGGGAGAGCAATCAGCATGGTTGCATGCTTTCCTCCAGCCATTGTCAGCTACGTGGAGACAAGCACAGCCTGGCAGAGGGGGAGATTGAGCCAGGGCTGTGATTCAGCCAAAGGAGTCGGAAGAAGTGCAAAAGAGGTTTGGGCTTGGAAATGTATGGGATGACTGACCGTGGGTTGAAGACAGGTAATTAGAGAAATGGAGACTTCAGGGTGTTAGAGATAGTGGAGAGGCAGGAGGATCAATGGATTGAAAGGTAGTGAGGGTGCAGGGCTGTAAGACTGGTACATTAGCGGAAGAGAGCTAGGACAGGAGGTGGTAGTTGGAGAAAGATGTTTGAATGTGTGATTGTGGATCAGCTGCCAGCTTTTTAGGGTATGAGAATCAGCAGCTAAGATGAAGAGGAGAACATGATCATTGAAAAACAGGAGGCTGAGGCACCAAGGACCACATCCTAAAAGGATCATCAATGTGGATCCTGCAGTTACCAGGAATTATGACAAGAATAATGCTGGAGAGAGCGACAGGGAGGAAGGAGCTCAGCTATTCAAATGAGAGAGAGTAACCAGGGGTTGGTAGACAGACACAATTGGAAGTGGTCAGAGGCCCTGTCTGAGGACAGGAGAGTCAAAGCTCAATGCTTTAGGAGGAGGCAGGGAACATGATCTGAAAGTCACATGATAAGCAAGGAAGACACCTACCCCACCTATGAACCAAGAGATACAGAGAAACTAAGAGAGAGAACAGCCCCCACTCAAGAGGACCACAAGGACTGCAGCATCATCAGGGGAGAGCCAGGTTTCCGGCAAAGCAAGAGGCTGAAGACATGGAGGGGGGTTGTTGATGATGATATTACGTTGTAAGGAGTTCTTATGAAAGGATTCTAAGAAATGAAGTCAGCTCATCTTAAAAACAATCTATCAAGTACAAGGTTAGGTCTCTTATCAGGTAAGGTATTATTATTCTAATTTTATGGGTGAGAAAACTGAGACACATGAGTTTAAGCAACTTGCCAAGGATACCCCACTAATAACGTCAGAGGTGAGATGATCAGGCCACAACTCCTGAGCCTGCACACTCAACCACGCACTCACTGGCTCCCAGCAGTCAGCCTGCAATGCTTCCTACTTGCCAATTCCTTCTGGCCATGTTTCAGTGTTTGAGAAATATTCTCATTATTGTATTCATATCCTCTTTTTTTTGAGACAGAGTCTCGCACTGACACCCAGGCTGGAATGAAGTGGCAAGATCTCAGCTCACTGCAACTTCTGCCTTCCAGATTCTAGCAATTCTCCTTCCTCAGCCTCCTGAGTACCTGAGACTACACGCGCCTGCCACCATGCCCGGCTAATTTTTTTTTTTTTGTATTTTTAGTAGAGATGGGGTTTCACCATGTTGGTCAGGCTGGTCTTGAACTCCTGACCTTGTGATCCACCCGCCTCGGCCTCCCAAAGTGCTGGGATTGCAGATATAAGCCACCGTGCCTGGCCTGTATTCATATTCTTTTTCAAACGTGAAAGAACTTATTCAAGTTCCTATTGCCATGGGGAGAGAGGCCAAGAATGAAAAGGGTTATCTCCGTAGAAGGCGGTGTGGGTGGAGGTGGTAGTAAGTATTCTCTACCAATGCTACCATTGCTCAGGGCCCCACATCTGGTTGTGCAGCTCCATGGCGATGCCTGTGGCTAAGGGGTGCGAAGGGACAGGGAACCAGCCAAAGTTCTGCTTGCTGAGCTGGACAGCCTGGTTCAGGGCTGCATCTGGAGAAGTGGCCACCTCTTATCCTCACACAATGGAGGCATCTGCTTGCCCAGTCCTGAACCCACAGGACTGCATCACCACAGAGGAGGTGCTTTTTCTAATCTGTTCACCCAGAGGGGACACCATAGGCCAGGGTCATTCTGAATGCACACATCATTTCTGAAATTCATTGTTAGAAATAATCTTCAACACCAATGGGAAAATAAAATATAAAGTCAACCTTGAAGAATAACTTTGCTTTTAGAAAGAGTTAAAAGTCATTTGTTGGCTGGTCGCGGTGGCTCACAGCTATAATTCCAGCACTTTGGAAGACCGAGGTGGGCAGATCACTTGAGGTCAGGAGTTTGAGACCAGCCCAGCCAACAAGGTGAAACTCCATCTCTACTAAAAATAAGAAAAATTAGCCGTTCGTGGTGGTGAGTGCCTGTCATCCCAGCTACTCGGGAGGCTGAGGCAGGAGAATCGCTTGAACCCAGGAGGTGGAGGCTGCAGTGAGCAGAGATCTTGCCACTGCACTCCAACCTGGGCAAGAGAGCGAGACTGCATCTCAAAAAAAAAAGTCAGTTGTTGTCAAAAAATAACATGGGTGGTTAGGACCTGTGAAGTTAAGAACTTTGTGATTCAGAAAATCATCATGGAAAAGGAGGTAATACTGGACAGCGGATCAGCCATTTTATATCTTGCAGAATATCTAAGATACCCCAGGATTTTTATAGAATGCCTGCAAATTACCATAGGAGAAATACTGTGGTGGAAATGCGGGGAACAATTCCAGTCCTCAGCCTGCCACAATCCATTTGTGTATCCTTCGGCAATTCATTGCTATCCTCTGAGGCTCGGCATCCTCTCCCCTCACCAGTAAGTGTGTGTGTGTGTCTGTGTGTGTATGTGTGTGTCTGTGTGTGCATGTAAATGAATAGGGACAATAGATGACCTATCTCTAGAGTACTCTCCAGCTCTGAGTTACTACTCTTTGATTAATTAAATCATTTTAAAGGATCAGAGCATCAAACAGGCTTTATCATTTTAGGCTTGAGATTCTGACATTTATATTCCCTCGGGTTTCAGGATTTGTTGGAGTCTTCCTTTGCAGTCATTGAAACACATTTCAACTACAAATTGTTTACTGTCCTAAGTATCATTTTATCTATTTTCCTTGAAAAAGCAAAGGTCTTGTTTTAATTCATCACTCAAGATGTGGGACCAATGGTCAAAAAGACATTCCAAGCCTTCAAAGGTTTTGCCTGCTTGGGGTTCCAGTTTCTGATGTATCCGGTTTGGGATAGATTCTAACCTCATGGGTCACGTTCTCATTCTCTCTGAATACACAACATACCTGAACTTTTCTACAGCTTCACTAATCCTGTAGGTGTTTAGCCTGCTACATTATGTACCAGTCATCTTTCTGCTTTTTTTCTCAATATGAGCCTCTCAAATGCTCTTGCTCTTGATATTGCTTTATCCCTGTGTGCTTCTTTAAAAACATATCAAATGTTTCATTTGCAAATTGGTCTCATGCCACATAAAATTTGATATTAATTCTAAATACTGAAGTTTCACTCCTTTGTCCCCTCTCTGACTACCACAGCAGAAAGTCTTGAAAATAATATCATTGCAAGTGGAAGCATGATCCTACATGTCCCCCAGGAGATCCCTCTTCCTTTGTGTTTACAATTACACAAGAATTTCTGAATCCACACTTTGCAGCCACATTTAGTGTCCTGACTCAGAGAAAGGAGAGCCTGGTGGAGCTCTGTAGGATGGCTCAGGACTCCCTTTGCTCCAACCATTTGCACAGCTAGCTGTTATCAGAATTCACAGCAAGGGTGGCCACTGCCTTGGTAGATTTCTGATAGTGTCCCGACACCCTACTTGTAAAATGAAAAATAACTTTGTGTTATCCTCCACCTTCTCTCCAAGGTTGCATGTCTCCTATTTTGATCTGAACTGGCTGATCTGCAGTGCTCTTAAGACTTAATATCAGATTTCTGCTTTAATAACAATAACAACATTAGATATACTGTTACAGAATGTGTCTAATAACAAACAAATTAAAGCTCTCAAAATTCAGACCTTGCCTCATTTACTACTGTGTCAAACACGATGGCTCCATAGTAAATGTGGCAAAAAGCCTCTCAGGGAGATTGTTTACACATAGCTCTGTCTGCATTGTCCAAAAAAAAAAAACAAAAAACAAAAACTTCCTGTATCCTAATATTTAGTATATTCTTACACTTTAAATAACCGAGAAAGAAAAGAGTGAAGAACATAATTATTTATTCTCAAGTTTAATTTTAGGTGAGCAGTGTAAGGATATGCACAAATACCAATGCCCCTTTGTAAGAGTTTCAAATTACTACACTTTATGATCTTTGTTCCCGACACGTGTGTCACATGTCATTTGTTACACACTGTGGTCATTTCTCCCAGCTGAAACCCTGTTTGTGGATATAAAACTCTTCTACATGGTTTAGGGCAGATGGTGAAGCATATGCCTCTACTTCCTGGGTTGCCTTTCTTCTGATTTCCATATGATAGGGTCTGCCTTGAGGGCCTCCACAGTATTTAAAGAAATCAAAATAGTTAATGAAAGACACAGTTAGATAAACACTCCAAGATGATCTCAGGCTTAAAATATAGCCAAAGTAAATTCAAAGGAACACAGACAGTCCTTTTCTTTATTATAAGGCCACTCAACTAGCCTCCCGATCTCGAATGGAATAACAGAGATATACCTTCTTAACAAAAAAATGCCTGAGCACCAAGGTGTTCCTACTGACCCGCCCCCGTCCCCAGATGGTTTTAATTGCTCAAGGGCAGCACAAGGCCCCTAGAACTCACTTCAAAGGCCTGAAACCAGTTCTGCTTCCTGATGTGTTCTATGCATTCGTGGCACTGCTTCTGGAAGTACTTTTTCTGCTTCTCATCCAACAAGCCAATTTGGTACAGGAATGCTGCATAGCCCCCTATAATCTGAGGACAAAAAAGACACACATCAATGCCACAAAGGGAGAAAAAGAGACCTTAAGGAAGCCCATTTGCTTGGTGAAATAATCCTTTGTAATTGTTAATCTTGTGCTGGTTAGCCAAGTAGGATAATTACATGCACACACATATACACCCCACAACACACACAACAGAACACAACACAATACACACACACATATATTTGCACTGACAGCCAATGTAAGCTGACACAGTACATCGATACGTTGAAACATTTGGTAAAAATTAAGAGATTTAAGTCATAAAGTCAACCGGTATTTCCCTTATCAAGTTAGACCTCTAAGAGGAGCCTTCCATCTGATAAAAAGGCTTTTAATCTCCCTAAGAGACAAAATAGAAAGTCAAAAGGAGACACCTACTGATTCGGGATCAGAATATCCATCTCCAATAGCAATTCCTTTCAGGTTGATCTTCTCCTCCTTCACCGGGTTGAGGGAATGGATGAGGTGTGCAATGGCTGGCACATATTTCCCTGCGTAAGACTGAGAAGGACAGATGTTGAAATGGTCAATCACAAATGGATGCTAGTAAAATTAAAAGTACTTAAGTTAATTAAAATCACAATGAAGGAGCAATCTTTTCACATGAGGTATACTATCTGTTTCCTAACCCTGCATTATAGATTCCATAATAGCAAAAACCTCTGTCTTCCAATTCTTTTGTCGTCTCAAATAGCACCCCATGACATGCACAGGTTCGATGCTCAAAAAATCACAAGTGAACATGTAATAAGTGAACATTCTAATTTCCTTCCAAAATAAAATAACTTGGGAGAACACAATTCTGCCATGTGTTAGGCGTCTCTTGCCAGAAAGCTCTATTCAAAGATTAGAGGGGAAAAAAATCTCAAGTTCAAAATTAAGATTTCAAAATCTGATAATGCTGCAAATTTTGAAATCAACATGTACTAATGGAACACATGTTCCATTAGTAGAAAGGAAAATAATATTTACTGCCACTAAAATTTTCACTTAAACTCATCTCTATTTCCAACCTTTTCTAGCACAAGGTCCTTTTTCAAGGTCAAAATATTTTGTAGATATCCTTCCCCCAACAAACGTGATAATAGTTCTACTTTTAGACCGTGCTGGAAGAGCTACTATTGACTCAGCAACATTTTTCAAATAATTTTGCATTTTGCATTCTTTCCATCAAAAGTTGCCTTCTTGATATCTCCACTTGTATGTCTAATATTAAACTGCAGACGATCAAAATAAAGCTCCCAATCCCCAACCCTGAGGCAGCCTCCCTTTCAATTCATGTTAATTCTGTTTTTCTGCTGCTCAGGCCAACAATCTTGGTGCCATTCTTTATATATCTCTTTCTCTCATATTCCACAAAAGTCAATCAGCCAAGCTTGTCAGCTCTACCTATTCTATCAAAATCTGTCCAGAGTCCAATGTCTTCCACAACCCTTTCTCCATCACATCATCTCTGGCCTGGATGACTGCAGTAGCCTCCTCATTGGCCTCCTTCTTTTGCCCTTATCCTTTAATGACTTCCCATCTTCCCAAAAGCAAAGGCATAAGGGCTAGCATGATCTGCTCCATTCTCTACCCTCAACCCCTGCTACCCTCTTGCTCATTCCTCTCCAGCCCACTGGGTTCCACGTTATTCCTTGCACATACCAGGCACATGCCTGCCAGGCCTCTGGACTAGCTGTTCCCTCCACCTGGAATGCTCTTCTCACAGGCATCCATATATATGGCAAATTCTCTCAATTTCCTATATTTTTTCTTTCCTATTTCCTTAATACTTATCATTCTCCAACAAACTTTTACTTACTTATCTCATATACTGTTATGCTCCTACCCATACTAGAATATAAGATCCGTGAATACAGGGACATTTGTCCATTTTGTTTACTTGAGTCCACTATGACTGATGCGTGTATTTGTTATGCTCAATAAATAGTTGTTGAATGAATGAATCTTAAAATGAATCCACAGACACCTGAAAAAGAGCAATGCATCTATGTTCAAAACAGACTAGAGACACTATGTGGATACCTGCGAGTTCACAGCATCTCCAAGGCTCTCCAGGGGGTCTGTAAGTTCAAAGGCTGGGAACCCCTGAAAGCTCTTATTTTATCCATACCATAATCATATGCTGAAGATATCATTACTCCCATTTCCAGATGAGGACACTGAGGCTCAGAGAGGTTAAGTCATAGAGCCAGAATTATACCTGAGCTGACTGACTCCAAAACCTAAACTCCTTCCAAGCAATGATAAAAGAAAGCCATTAATGTAATTTATCTAAGATCTCCTCATTGATGCAGCTCTCTTGTGCAATAATAATTATTTAGACAAAGTATTGAATCAAAGCAATTTATCCATTCATACTTGCAAGTATATTTTAGCTTCCTTGTGTAATATAAAGATATGTCCATATGTCTGAAATTTGGTTTGTTGTCTAACTGTGCTACATTCTGTTGTGACAATAAGTGAACATTTATCAAATAAAATTTCTGTAAAATGACAAAAAAGCATATTTCCCTCAGTAACCATTTTACTAGTAAAAATGTATTATTATATAGTCTTTATTCAATGATAGTTTATTGGGCAATTCTTCTGTCAAAGGCATTGACATGGTATGCCTCTGTGTCCTCAACCAAATCTCATCTCCAATTGTAATCCCTACGTGTTGAGGAAGGGATCTGGTGCGAGGTGACTGGATCACTGGGGCAGTTTCCCCCATGCTGTTCTCATGATAGTGAGGGAGTTCTCACGAGAGCTGATGGTTTTAAAAGAGCCAGTTTCCCCTGCGCATGCTCTCTCTCTCTCGCAGTATCTTTACAGCAGTGTGAAAACGAACTAATACAGGCATTATACTAGATACTTGAGGAGACACAAAAATGAATAAAGCACAAAACTTGCCCTCATAAAGGTCACAATTGCTTTCAAAACTATATTATGGAAACCATGACTGACACATGATAGAGCAAAGTTTACCATTTCTTAGATTATGATTTCCATAATGTATACATTGCCTAGCACAAAGTAGGTAAATAAAAACATACTTGATAAATGAATGACTTATCTGGCATTACTTCTAAATACTTTTTCCCTATCAGAAATTGGTACAGATGCTAAAAAGTTTATCTTCCAGTGATATTATCACTCCAATTTTCTTGTTATAAGACCTGGTAATAAAACATCTCTCTTGACACTTTCTGACATGGAAGGGCATGTACTTTAAGTTGCTGTGTAGGTAGTCATGAGAAACGTAGGCTGAAACATCTGCATGTTTATGGCACCTTCCCCCAGTGACCATCATGTGTATCTGGGTATCTGGGATACATCCAGACAGGGAATTAAGAAGGAACACCCACTCAGTTTTTGAGCAATACTATGAGCCAGGCTACCTCACCTACTTTAAGCCAATTTAAGATGAACATTATTTTCCAATATTTTACAGTGATGAAAACAAGAGCCCGTGCATTTCATTCACATGCCTGGCTGGAATTCTACCCTGGCTTGGCTGTCTCCGCAGCTCCCCTTTGTCATATCTAATTGCATTTCAGTCAATGAAATCTTTTCTATTGAGAAGATACTCTTTAAAAAAAAAAAAAAAAAGCCACCATTATTATTATCATCATTATTATTTTTTTAGACGGAGTCTCGCTCTGTTGCCCAGGCTGGACAGTCAATGGTCCTGGAATACACCATGGGTCTGAGGTCCCCTAAGGTGGGACTACATCTTGGGTTTATCTACTCCAGGCTTGCTAAGCTGATCATTTATGAAAAACAAAACAGTGAGATGAGTAGTACTATAACCATATCCAAAATGAAATTCTTCAATATTCAGTCCACATCTGCCAACCTCGCAGTCTTTTTTTCTAACTTTCTAATGACTATCACACACTTCCTTGCTTTGTGTCAGTGTGACAAATCCGTCATTGCCTTTTTCATTAATCATTCCATTGGTTGAGTGACTCAGGCTGTCACAGAAAAGAAAATTATAGAATTATTTTTATGGAAAACAGACACTGAAACATTGTAATAAAATTTCAATTATTTTCACTCTCCTTGTTGAGAGAGGTTTTTTTTTTTTTTTTTGGCAAGATCAGACTCATTTATTCTTTTTGAATCATTTATTTCTCAATTTAATGATTCTCTGACCGCCATTAAGTACTTCAAAAGACAACCGGGTAATAAATCAAGTATGTTTTATTTTACCTCATTTGCCTTTTCCTGTATATATTTTATAGAACCCCATATTTCGGGGGAAGAATTTAGGTGTGACTGCCTTATGGATTAGAAATCGACTATATGGTCCCTTAGGCTTATAACAGTGATTCTGTAATTTTATGAACTATTGCTTCTTTTGTTCTGAGTTCTAATGAAAACAGCAACAACAACCAGAACTCTTGGTCCCATGGCTTCTCTGACCTCCCCATGGTGTTCACCAGTGTGGGCAGCAGCTGGTCAATGAAGCCCCTGAAGTCTGTGAATTAACACGAACCTTCTAACATGGGATCAGATGCTGGCCTCATAAAAGCTCAAAGCAATACCAAAGCCATTTTAAAAAGAAAGAGGAAAAGTGTGGCCAGAAACTATCTGAACACATATTATTTTAGAATTTGGCAGGGACCTTCAAATGAGAAACTCAGCCAGATAAACATAACACATCGAACAGAATTCAAACTAGGTTAGCACTCAACACATCAGAATTTTAGGATGTCCTTATTATTCCTTTCTAATTATTAAAGGAGCTTCAAGCTGCAATTTCCAGCACTGCTCTTACTTGGTTAATTTTTCCCATGGTGACCATATTTCGAGCTGACCTCCAACAAGAAGGACCAGAGGTATTAGGGTGTGTTTGTACATGCTTGTGTTTGTACATGCTTGTATTTGCTGGAGCTTAAAGAGGCAATAAACTTCCAATTTTCCTCCTACATCAGAAGGATCTCAGAATTCAGCTCTCAGTCTTTTATTTCTCCCAGGAGAGAAAAAGGCCTCAACATCATAGTTGAATAGTAGTTTTGAATCTTGGTCTGCGATTTTTTTTTTCCAGCCTGATGGAAATCCCGTGAGGAGTACATTGTACTTGTAAAAACAGAGAGAATGCAATGTTTGGTTAATTATCCAGATGTGTAAAAATACAATGAAATTGGATGTAGAGAAAACCTATAATTGTGTCTTTTGCCTGAATCTCTCTTTTCTTATATGTTTCAACAACATACAGAGCCTACTTACTGTAATCTGCCATTTGGTTACACTCAAGAAAGGGAAAAAGATTTCATAGCTAAAGTCCAGCTTCAATCAGCTCCTCCAGAGGAAAACAAACAGTGTCAGAGAATAATATTAAAATGGAAACAATGTCCTCTTACAGAAATTTCACATATGGTAGCAGTTACTATTGTTTAAGCTACTCTCATTTGACTACATTTCTCTGAAGTTTAGTAGGAAAAAAATAGATACACTTATATAGTCATTCTCTGCCTTGCTTCTAGGTACACATTTCATGGCAAAAAAATTCACAACTTTGTCAGTGATAATGAGCAACGGCTTTTGAAATGAGACACAGCTAAACCTGGACACAAAGTTTCACCATCCGCAGGCCTTAGTTCCTATCCTTTGCCTGGCAGGTGCAAAGAGGGAGTTGTCAACTTCAGCAATGGTACACTGAGGACCCTGAGGGTCATTCTAAGCTCCTTGCCCTGCTTGAACCCCACTTTCCCCAGCTACACAGGAGAAAAAAAAATCCTTCTTTGAAGAATTCACTACTGGGCTGGTGAGAGCTCCTCTGTATCCCCAGAAGGAATCAAGGCACACTGCCCTTCTGGAATCAGTCATATCATTCCCTTGTTCTCCAGCTCATCCCAGGCACAGACTACGATAGAGCTGCCACCCATTTATGGGAGAAGACCAGAGGGAACAAGACAGCTTCAATGCCTCAAAGAGAACTTTATACACACATTGAACACCCCAGGAAAGCCACAAAATCCGGTGAAAACCTCGGTGTAATGGGTACCATGTAGCAGCCAATAGGGCAAGATTAGGCTAGGGTGACCTACTTTGGCTTCATCTAGCCTAGGGTAGAATCTTATTTCCTTCAGTACCATTATTTTATCTGAAGAGAGAAGTGTGGCCTTAAAATGGTCAGTTTAGAAAATTAATGAATGAGGAAAGCTGGAATTTCAGTGTTGTGGTAATCTCTATAACTTCCTAGACATTTCTAGACCATGCGTCATCTAATTTCAAGACCACATTGCTGCAATTAAAAAAAAAAAAAAGCCTTCCAACAAGAATATGACTTTATCAAAGCATCTATTTCTTTTGGAATATGGGCTTAAAAAGAAACTTGCAAAATCTACAGGCATAGACTTATAGCAAAAACACTTCGATCTATAGCCAATTTTTAGTCACATAAACTTATGCAAAAATACATGCTGCCTCCCAAATGATATATTCTTATTTTCTATTGAGAAGATACTGCTTAAAAAAAAAGCCATCACTGACAGGCATAGGTGAACAAGATGCATCCTTTTCCCACCTACTCTGAGTTCAGTGGCAATTTGGAGAAATCCAGCATGAAGCCAGGTGACTCAATGAGATGAATAAACCCTTTTGTTTAAAATGGAGACTACAGTTAATTTGACTTTTAAATAAAGAGTCCGAACACACCGGGCCACAGTCAACAAACTGAATCTTTGTTTGCTCACTGTAGATACAATTCAGAAGGATGAAGCTGCATAATAGATGTAACTTAGCATTTCTCATTTCCAACCTAAACATCTCATCTAATCAAGTACTATTTAGGTCTCTATGCTACCTGCTCCAGCATGGTAATTCATTCCTGACAAAGCTTATAATGACTTCTGATTTACGCATATTCTTTTCCATGCAACCTCAGTATATATGTATTGACTTGATTTGGATATGCTGTACAAAAGCCAGAGATCAAACTTGCAAACATTTCCATATGCCCTTATTCAGTTCTTTGGTTACAGCTTAAACCTTGATTTTTGTAATATTAAACTCATTAAATAGTCACAAATCCATTTTCAATTCTAAAAGAAAATATTGGCAAGTGCAGAAGAACATAACTGAAAATAGAGATTTGTCATAGGTTCAAGAGTTAAAACAGCTTGAATGTTATCTAATAAAATTCAGCAAGTTCCAAGCCTTGAGAAATAATTGCATTCCAAAGACTTCAAGTCCTTATATCACTTGAAACTTCCACTTACTCTATAAAACTTAATGATCAAAGCCAAGTCTTTATGATTAAAACAGTCTTGGCCAGAAAGACATTCAAGAAGCTAGGGAACTTCTTTTCTGTTTGTGTAAGGTTGATAACCTTAGAGTTTCAGCATTAAATATGGAAGGGGACGTTTGGCTCCCTTCTACACAAACAGAATCTGAAGCAGGTCCTGGAGACAGTGCAAGTTCAAGGTGAGAGCACCCAGCTTGGGGAACAAGCATTTTGGTGAACAAGGCTGCACCACTAGCTCACTTCTTCCCCACCATCTTCAGGCTCTGGAGTCTGACTGCTTAGGTTCCAATGCTGGCTCCTCCACTTTCTGGCTGGGTGACCTTGGTAAGGCATACCTAACCTCACTAAGCCTCAGTCACCTCACCTGTAAAATGGGAAGAATAATCACAGCACCTATTTTTTAAGGCAGCTGTTAGGATTAAATGAGGTAATGCATAAAACAGTGCTTAGCATGATGTCTACCATACAGTCCATTCTTAATAAATGTTCTCTAGTAAAATCTACAGATAAAATACGTGAACTAGATGTTCTTGAAGGATCCCTTCTAGCCATTAAATTTAATGATCCCAAGCCCGGGCTAATAGGATGATGGTACAGGCTTACACAGAATGCTAATAATCATAGGCCTACTTCTAGAATTGCTCTCCCACCCCACCTTGGTTGCCAACCCCACTGCATGTCACTGCTTGAAATTACCCTATTACAAATATCTATCCATCAGGTAGGCTCTCTCTTTATTCAAATGCAAACATGTTGAGAGTCCACCATATTGGGTTTAATTTATCAGATCCTTTCTATGGAACAATGAGCTGATAACAAGTCAGAATGGGGAGAGAAACAGAACAATCATGATAGGGATGGAAGAAGCATGGAGAAATAGAAGTTTGTACACAACAGACTGAGGAGAGGAAGGCTGAGGTGGGAGGATGGCCCTGGAAAACAAGGGAGGCCAAAGGAGAGTCCCGAGGGCCCGGGACATAGTGCAGGAAGAGAAGGGCAATGAAACGGAGGCGAGAAGAGCAGAAAAGATCATTACTGGGTACTGAGCTTAATACCTGGGTGATGTAATAATAGGTACAACAAATCTCTGTGACACGTTTGTCTATGTAACAAACGTTCACATGTACCCCCAAACCTAAAATAAAAATTTTTAAAAAAGAAAGGGGCTGGCTGCAGTGGTTTACACCTGTAATCTCAGCACTTTGGGAGACTGAGGTGGGCAGATCACCAGGTCAGGAGTTCAAGGCCAGCCTGGCCAACATAGTGAAACCCCGTCTCTACCAAAAATACAAAAATTAGGCGGGCATGGTGGCACGTGCCTGTAATCCCAGCTACTTGGGAGGCTGAGGCAGGAGAATCACTTGAAGCTGGGAACTGGAGGCTGCAGTGAGCCGAGATCGTGATGCTGTACTCCAGCTTAGGCAACAGAATGACACTTTGTCTCAAAAAAAAAAAAAAAAAAAAAAAAAAAGTCGGGGTAGGGGAGGTGAAAAGATGCAGGAAAGAAATATCAGTATTTTTATTTTATCTAAAGGCAGCCTTGCATGAACTTCATTCTATAATCATCATTATGCACTGTGCTTAGTATCGAATAAAACAAACAAACATGGCTCTCGCATACTGGGAGCTTGCCACCTAACCCAATGGGCCATGATGACTTCAGTAAAGGTCGTCAGACACTGTACTTCCAAACAGGGACTTCACCCATGCAGATGAAGATAAAGTAGCCCATTATGCTCCCTAATTCATTTTTAAATAGCTTCAAAGTTTTGTCTCTATTGGGTCCTCAAATAAATTATGGTTGCAAAACTGTTTATAAAGAGAGTCTGCCCTTTTTTGCTGATGGAGAAGAGATGTCCCGTTTTAACCACAGGCCCTGCTAGTTTGGAAGCATTCCCATCCATTGCCACAACCTCCCACATGCACTGACTCTTCCCCTTGAGCGGCACATAAAGACACAGGCTCAGAGAACAATGGGCGGTCCCCCTGATCGTCACCTGCCTGCCTTCCAGTGAGGGCTGTTTTGCTTTAACTTCTACCTGGGCTCACGTACAATTGAGAGGATGCTAAATGTGTCTGTGCCTCAAGAACAAGGGCAATCTCACTAATAGTTACTGGCTCAGAAAGGATAACACTTATAAAGAAAGTTAATTATGGGAATTAAATGCAGCTTGTTTCTCTTTTTGAAGTATGCTTTTTTCATGTCTTGAGGAGGGTGATTTACAGACACATTTGTCTCTTTTTAGGGAAAATTAATTCCAGTTGGTGTTCTGGGCAGAAATGAAGAGAAGGAAGAAGACAAAGCAGCTTCTCCTCTCTCCTTTGCGCTGAGGGCAGGCCCACGCCACTTTCTCTGGTGTAGCCACACCATCGTCCGCATGGCGAGGCAGGAGCCTGGGGTGGGTCCTGACACATTTTGCCGCTGCCCGTATAAAAAACAAGCACAACTTCTAATGTCAACTGCTAAGCTCCATTTTTTTTAGACAAAGTAACTATTGCTTTTAAAAATGATTTCAAAATCACAGACATAGAGTAGAGGGGACAATGCCATATCCCAGCAATGAGTTAGCGGAGCTTCTATTAACACTTCAGCTCTTGTCTACAGGCATAAGGCTGTGTGCTTGGGAGTCATAATATATTAACCCAGCTTTTCAACATGAATGGTAATAGTAGTCATCACGTGTTGGGTACTCACCACAGTCACTAGGCTAATATCTGAGGAGGATTATCTAATTAAATACTCAAAACAACCCTATGCGGTAGGTACTATTATTATTTCCAGACTCCTTTACATCAAATCAAGGTTCTGAACAGCTGCTCCAGACCCCTTGAGCATCAGGTTCCTCTCATTCATAGCACACAAACATGAGATATTTAGGTCTGGTGCATTTACATTGAAAAGCAGAAAACCATTCTGAATTTGTGCATTTATTTTTTGAAGATGGCTCTACAAACTGAGCAGCACTATTCCGCTTTCCTAAGAGTGTGAGAAAATGAAGAGTTTAGAAGAGAAAGGAATTTTCTTTCTTGAAAAATCTAGAAGAATTTTTTTTTTTTTTTGGTGGTGGCAGCAGCGAGAGGGAAAATGGGTAGGTACTACGTTAAAACTGCAATTACACACAGATGCTTAAAGAGTAAGTCTAAATAACTGCATTTGAACTTCTAGTAAAGCAAAATATCCCTGTAAGTGATCTAATTGAACAACTCCTCTGATTGTTAGATGAAAAGCAGAGGCCCAGGGAGGCTGAAAGACTTTCCTGAAATCATCCAGGGAGGAGCAAAGCCAGCCCTGAGTCCCAGGGCCCCTAATGATTAATCCAGAATGCCTTCCACTTCTCTTTTCTGCCACATGGCCTTAAAACAGAAGACAACCCAGATGGGACCAACGAGACTGGAGAAACACAGCATTCTAATATTCATGATAAACCATCAAGGCATCATTATTTAGTGTTTTTTTCTTCTAGAAAGAGCAGTGCCCCCAGACTGAACGTATCCCATGTAGTTCAGGGAAGAACTCCTGACAACGGCATCTCTACCTCACATCTTCCTTCATCACTCAGAAGGCACAGGTTTCCCTAAAGGTATTCATCCTGGCAGCAACGAAGGTAAAAAGAAAACTGTCCTCTTCTACACACATTAGGAAATTATAGGCATAAAACCACAAGGCAGATGTGAAATAACCAAGTCAAATTTTTCATCTGGGATTTGGCAGCTTTACCAAACATCATGGTTTGTATCAACATCAGCATCATGGTTAACGACATCACCACATTATTTGCAAGACAAGGCATTACACACGAAGTAGATCACTCTTCTGTAGGAGGTGGAGAATGGGCATTTTCCAAATATTTTGCCAAATAATGGGGAGTGTCACTTCCTATTCGCTTTCCTAACCTGGCTCTGAAATTGGTTAAAAGACAAGGAACAGCCAGAAATTACCAGGAGAGGTTCTAACTCATCCTGACTGCATAACTGGCTTAAGAAACCTAAAGTGTAGTATGCCAAACAGTCAGAATATCCATTCCAAATAGCTTATAAAGAGAAAAAAGAGAGAAGAAGTTGCTAGCTCCAGTTACTTGCCATTCCCTTGGAAAAACTCAGACCATTTTCCTCTTTCCCTCCCTGAAAGTGTACATCGCAGACATGCTTGCCAGCATCTTTACAGCCCTTCCTCTGGCATCATCACTTGGATCTTCCTCTAGAGACCACTCATCTCCTACTCTCGGGCCTTATGGTTCAGAGTATGAGGGCCCCCATCCCAGTCCCTACCCTTCCAGGGTGTGGAGTGGGCCTCAGGCACCATTCTGGCCAATCTGTATATTCCAACCACCTGGGTCCAGTTGGTGGCTCTAGGATAGGCATGAGATCCAAGTGGATCATCTGAGATTCAGGAATCTGGAGGGCAGGAATTATTGGGAAAGGGAAGTTGAATGGATACGCTATACCTGCCCTGCGATGGATGGAGAAGCGGGAGTGCCACATGAAAAGAACTTGCCTAAGAATGAAACCAGAAAAGTACAAAGCAAAGTACATAGATCAGGAGAGAATGACAGGCAGAATCCTGATGACAAAGTATGGGCAACCAGATCCAGCCACACCTGACGTTAAATCAATCAATGTCCTGTTTCACTAAAGCTGCTTTAAATAGGGTTTCTGTCACTTGCAACCAAAAGAGCCTTAACTAACACACCCTTATTTATCCTTCAAAACTTGGTTTCACTGCCATCTCCTCTGCTTGGCCTTTCCTGAGGATCCCATTTTGAGGTAGCTATTGGTACCTTTCCTGTGGCTATTAGTCTTTACAGTTACTTCTCTAATTTTTTTTCTTAACTTTTTTTCCTTTTTTCAAGATTCGTGGATCAGAGATAATATTTCCCTAATTGTGCCTTTCATCTGTATTGTAATTATTAGACCTTCAGATTTAGGGCAGAGTCAACGTCTGATAAATCACTGAATTCCTAATATTTGTCCAGTGCCTCAAACATAGCAGATACTCAATATATCTGTGCTCAGTTGAATTCGATTCTAAATGTTCTTTCAGTGAACACTGGACCCTCAATGGTTTCCCATTACTCTTAGAATAAAGTCCAAACTCTCTGCCACAGGCAGCTGGACCCTGCAGGATCCACTGGCCTCTTTCTGCTCAGTTCCCACCACGGCAGCTCTGTGCTTTTCCTTGAACCTGCCAAGCCTGTCCCCACTGGAGAGTCTTCGCATTCATTGTTTCTTCTGCCAGGAAAGCTCTTCTTACAGATACTGCAGAAATTACCCCCACCACATCATTCAGAGTTCTGCTCATCATCTCCTTGTCAAAGAGCCTTGCCCAGACAATCTTATCCAAAATAGCACCTCCTTCTCCGGCCCTTGCCCTGCTGCATCTCTTTCATGATGCTTGTCACTGCCTGATGGTACAGTACCTAGCACACATTTTAATTATCACTGTCTGCCTCTCTAGAATGTAGGGCAGGGATTTTTTTTTGTAGTTTTTCAGTGTTATTCACCATTATATTCCTAGCACCTAGAACTGCACCTATGTTCTTAAATGATTGGCTGGTACATATTTTTAAAATAATCTTAAAAAGGATGAAAAAAACAAACCCTAAAATTGAAACCAACATAGACAAATGAATGTAACTGTGTATTAAATTTTAACAGAATCACCCTTAAAAAGATAGAATTCTTTTAACTTTTAAACACAGTACTTTGATTGTAAGTGTGTAGTGAGATACAATTTAAGGATAAAAATAATTGCAGCAAAAATATTGAAAGTAATTTTGATGTTTCTTGTTGGTAATGGTACTCATGTAGTAATTCTGGAACCATTTTGGGCATATTGTAGAAGCAAGCAAAAGAGGAAACACACTGATGTCATTAGGAACCACAGCCCTCAATGTTGGAGAAGGGGTAAACAAATATGGAACAGAGAAAAGAGAAGAGAACCTTGTGGTATGGAATCAGAAGTATGGGTATTAGTATGAAGTCATTTGGTTTCCTAGCCCTGCCCACAGACACATCCCAGCAGCAATGGGCCACTTAGTGCTTAGCACTTGCTTTTTAAATGCCATTCCCCATGAAAAAGAACCAGCATTCCATGAAGAACTGACTGATTCCAAGGCTAGGACAGGGAAAGTACAAGAAGTACAAGATGCTTCTGGAACATACATTTGTGTCAAAAAGCAAGGACATGCTTGGAGGCTAATGGGGACCTGTAAAAAGGGCACAGGAGCCAGTTGAAGGGGTTTCCAGTGACCAAATTTAAAACAATGAAAGCATTTAAAACAAAACAAATTTTAACAGATCAAATAGAAATAACAGTCTGTGAATCCACAGTACTATTTTTAAAAGTAAGTAATAAGAGGAAAAGGGAAAAATTTTCCCTATGGAAGAATGCCAGGTGATATCCACAGAAAGATACATTAGAAAACTCGCCATTTTATCACCCCCAGTGTAATAACTGATTCAGACAGAGATCATCAATGGATGCTAAAACTACTGGGTGGCATTTTTGAGGGAACAGTGTTCAAATGGTCTTGAATTATTAATTAATTACAAACAGAAACAGGTGCCTTTACAATGGCAAGATCTGGCAGACACCACCTTGACAGAGGGATCCAGTTTAGCATCATCAACAGTGGGACAAACTGACTTCTTGTGCCTCCTGATGTGAGGCACCAGAAAGTACACACCATCTATGTAATATTCGTGCTCAAATGTTTTGACATAACCTAAGCACTGAGGAAAAAATCCGACAAATTCAGAATATGGGACATTCTACAAAGCACCTGGCCTGGACTCTTCAAATCATCACCATGAATGACGAGGACAACAAACAAGGTAGGTGACTGAGCCTACCTAGTGCACCCATGGTAATATGAGAGCATGCATTGAGTCCTGGGATTTAAAATATGTTATGAAAGGGCCAGATGCAGTGGCTCATGCCTGTAATCCCAGCACTTTGGGAGGCCGAGGCAGGCAGATCACAAGACCTTAATAGGAGTTGGAGACCAGCCTGGCCAATATGGTGAAACCCCATCTCTACTAAAAATACAAAAATTAGCCAGGCGTGGTAGCAGGTACCTGTAATCCCAGCTACTTAAGAGGCTGAGGCAGGAGAATGGCTTGAACCCGGGAGGCAGGGGTTGCAGTGAGCTGAGATCGCGCCACTGCACTCCAGCCCTGGGCAACAAGAGCGAAATTCCA